CTAAATCGTGATAACTAATTCAGGTGCCCCTTTTCTCCTCCTACTGGTTGGAAGCGGTGATGGGTGCCAACTAAATCTGGATTTTTTTTATTTTTTTTGCATCCGGAGATTAATTCCGGTCTCTTTCTGCTACATGCATGCCCTGAGCACTTTCCCCACCACTAAAATCTTGGCATTTTCAAGGATACGTAATCCGAATAGAGTTGGAAGGGACCTTGGAGATCTTCTAGTCCAATCCCCTGCTCAAGCAGGAGACCCTGTACCATTCCAGACAGGTGGCTGTTCAGTCTTTTCTTAAAAGCCTCCAATGATGAAGCATCTACAACTTCTGAAGGAAAGCTCTTCCACTAGTTAATTGTCCACACAATTAGGAAATTTCTCCTTAATTTCAGGTTGCTTCTCTCCTTGATTAGTTTAGAGACAGAAGGATGGAAGGCTGAGTCAGAAGGATGGAAGGCTGAACAACAAAGATGATTAGGGGACTGGAGGCTAAAACATGTGAAGAACGGTTGCAGGAACTGGGTAGGTCTAGTTTAATGAAGAGAAGGACTAGGGGAGACATGATAGCAGTGTTCCAATATCTCAGGGGCTGCCACAAAGAAGAGGGAGTCAAGCTCTTCTCCAAAGCACCTGAAGGTAAGACAAGAAGCAATGGGTGGAAACCAATCAAGGAGAGAAGCAATTTAGAACTAAGGAGAAATTTCCTGACAGTTAGAACAATTAATCAGTGGAACAACTTGCCTCCAGAAGTTGTGAATGCCCCAACACTGGAAATTTTTAGTAAGATGTTGGATAACCATTTCTTTGAAATGGTGTAGGGTTTCCTGCCTGGGCAGGGAGTTGGACTAGAAGACCTCCAAGGTCCCTTCCAACTCTGTTATTCTATTCTATTCTATTCTATTCTATTCTATTCTATTCTATTCTACTCTACTCTACTCTACTCTACTCTACTCTACTCTACTCTACTCTATTCTAACCTTGAGCCTGTGGGAATCGAACTGCCAAACTGCTGGTAGCCGACTCTTGAAGATGACTACAGAACATCTTATGAGCTGCGGTGGTGCAGTGGTTAGAGTGCAATACTGCAGGCTACTTCTGTTGCCTGCCAGCTGCCTGAAATTTGGCAGTTCAAATCTCACCAGGCTTAAGGTTGACTCAGCCTTCCATCCTTCTGAGGTCAGTAAAATGAAGACCCAGATTGTTGGAGGCAATAGGCTGACTCTGTAAACTGCTTAGAGAGAGCTGTAAAGCACTGTGAAGTGGTATACAAGTCTAAGTGCTATTGCTATTGCTATTGCTATTGCTATGACCAAAGTTTGTTGAAAGCCATTTTTAGGGAACTGTCAGGCAGATGCCACGAAGCGAGGCATGATGGGGGACTGTAAAACACTGTCAAGTGCTATATAAGTCTAAATGCTATTGCTATTGCTATCATCTATTAGCCTTGTATGGTTGGTAGATCACCATGAGAACAAATTGCTGGACTAGATCGGGTAGGATCCAGCAATAATTAATTATGCTTTGATAACTCTGGACAGTGTGAAAAAACAAAATCCTCACCACAAAAATACATTAATACATCCAAATGAGTACAGGCAGTTCTTGACTTACAACTTTCATTTAATGACTGTTTGAAGTTACAACGACACTGAAAAAAGTGGCATGACCATTTTTCACACTTACGACCATTGCAGAATCCCTATGGTCATGTGCTCAAAATCCAGGCACTTGGTAACTGACCCATATTTATGACCGTTGCAATGTCCGGGGGGTCATGTGATCAACTTTTGTGACCTTCTGACAAGCAAAGTCAATCGGGGAAGCCAGGTTCACTTAACAATCATGTTACTAACTCAACAACTGCAGTGATTCACTTAATAACTGTGGCAAGAAAGGTCGTAAAATGGGGCAAAACTCACTTAGTGACTGTCTCACTTAGCAACAGAAACTTTAGACCTAATTGCATTTCTAAGTCAAGGACTACCTGTATCAAGAACAAAAGGGAATCCCCCCACCCAAAGAAAACCTACCAAATAAAATACCCACAGCCAATCAACCAGGAACAAAATCAGATTAAAGTTATGTATTTTACAATAGTTGGAATGTCGGATTTAAAAATCTGTTGTCTGAGAATCATTGCCAGATCTTGATGCATTGTCCTCCCCAAATATTTGACACATCGAAGTATAGTAGTGACCAAATTGTGGAAACCTTTTGGGAAAAGTGTATTTTCTAAAACTAGCTAATAAGACCACTTTTTTTTTGAAGTAATACCATAAAAATTATACATCAATGGAAAGATAATTTAATCAAGAATGTAATGCAATAACTTTTATGAAGGATTTGCTATTAGAATAGCAGTTACAGTATAAAGAAGGAAAGTGAAACAGGTAGAAAAAACGAGATAAACAAAAATTATCACCATAGAAAAAATGAGATATACAAAAATTATCACCATGTCAGTTAATACTTAGTTGTGTAACCTTTAGCATGAATTAGGGCCTTACAACGTCTTCCCATGGAGTGAACCAAGTCTTTGAGTTCTGCAGCTGTTATAATGTAAAACCAAGATTGAATGATTGGTTCTATTAACTGGGTTTTATAGCTGGGTCGCTTTTGACTAACAAGTTTCGTTAGTTGGCTTCAGTGATGGGATTCTGCCAGTTCTAGGCAGTTCGGCCGAACCGTTTGTTAAATTGCTGGCTTGCCCCGCCCCTTACCCTGCCCCTCCGCACCACTATTTATTGCCAATAAATAGTGGTGGGCGAGGGGCGGGCGAGCCAGCAATTTAACAAATAGTTTGGTGTTTTTTTGTAATTTTATTGGCCCACGGAGCTTCAGCATAGGCTAATTAGCCCGTTGATTAGATCGGCCTGCCGACTCTCAGCTGATTTGCTCTCAGCTGTTTTGCTCAGGGCTCTGCAGCTTGCTTGCAAAGAGTGCTGGAGCAGATTTTTTTCCCCTTAGCTATGCTGAAAAACGAACCTGAAAGTACAGTAAAGCAGGCTGTTGGCTTTGCTGTTTGCTGCAACGTTGGAAAATTAGGCAGGCAGATTTCTTTTCTTTTTCCTCACCAAAAAAGGTAAGTGCAAACAATGGGAAATTTAGGGGAAAAAAGGAGAGTTCAAGATTTTAAAACACAAAAGAAAAAAAGCTCTATTTAACTAGGGAATTGTAATAATTGAGATACTATTAATTGTATATTGTGTTGAAAGCAGAAATGGTTAAGTTTTGGTTTGGAGGAATATATGGGGGAAATTATTTGGTTTATTATTATTGGTAAATATAATTAATTGATTTGTAAGAAATTGAATTGCATGGAAATAATTGGAATATTCATGTTCATATTGATTAATATACAAAAAAGATAGTTATATAACTAATTGATTTATATTAAAATGTTGAATTTATATTAAACAACTGTAATATTACATAATTAAACAATGTGAGGATGGATATAAAAATAGATGACAATGGGAAGGGGTATAATATAGAATAGAAGGGAAAAATTGAATTTGATTAAGATTAGAGATGAGGATGAAGGGTAATATTGGTTTTCTTAAAAAATAGATGAGGAATAAATATGGCAAAAAGGAAATATAGAAATTGTAAATTTAATTGAAATGACTAAACACTGTTTAAATTTGTGAACCGGCCAAATACTCTGTTCAAAGAAAATAAATTGTATGTTTCTATGTGTGTTTTTATATTTGTTCTCTTTTATTCTTTAAAGTTTAACAATTCATTCTTTATCTTAATATCTTTATATTTGTTTGGGGTTGCCTTTCTTCCATTTCATCTTTTTTACTGTACAGCAATCTTTCTCCTCAAACCTACCACCTCTCTCTTTTCTTTCCTTCTTACTTTCTTCCCCCCCCCCCGCTTCTTCTCCTCCCTACTTCCTCTTCCTTTCTCCTTCTCCTCCTCTCTTCCTCCCTCTCTTACCCTCACTCCTGCTCTAATTTCTCTTCCCTTCCTTCCTCCCTTCTCTTCCTTCCCTCTCTCTCCTTCTTTCTTCCATCTCTCTTCTTCTTCCTTCATTCCACTCTATTGCTGTATCCTTTTGTGCATATGGATTACTCAGAGGGTTGAAAAAGTTATTTTTGACTAGTCCTCGCACTTTTGACCACTCCTTGAACTTACAACTGTCCTCACATTTTACGTTTTTCGCCCTATCTTGTCACCATGGTGAAGAGAAGCAGTTGTGAAACGAGTGACATGGTTGTTAAGAATGCTACAATGGGCATAAATGATGACCAGTCATAAGGGTGAGGACCGGTCAAAAGTGCGAAGACCTGTCAGAAATCACTTTTTTCAGCCCTCTGGGTAGTCCTTCTGTGCATATGGACTACTCAGAGGGCTGAAAAAGTTATTTTTGACCGGTCCTCGCACTTTTGACCAGACCTTGAACTTATGACTGTCCTCACATTTTATGTTTTGCGCCCTATCTTGTCACCGTGGTGAAGAGAAGTAGTGGTGAAATGACTGACACGGTTGTTAAGAATGCCACAATGGGCATAAATGTGAGAATGGTCATAAGTGCGAGGACCAGCCAGAAATGACTTTTTTCAGCCCTCTGAGTAGTCCCTATGCACATACCCACGCCCACCTGGTCACATGACCAGCTAGCCACACTCACCCAGTCACATGACCAGCTAGCCACGTCCATCCAGTCACATGACCACCAAGCCATGCCCACAGAACCGGTTGTTAAAAAAAATTGAATCCCACCATTGGTCGGCTTGATAAATTTTCAATTGGGTTAAGGTCTGGGCTATTTCCAGTCCATTCCAGCAGTTTAAACTCCAAAAAAAAAAAAAAAAAAAGTGGTGTTATTAGCCATCAGACCTCAAAAATACACTTTTCCCAAATTGTTTCCACAATTTTGGCCAGTACTGTATGTGTCTTACTGATACATAGATATTTTTGTCTTATTACAAATAATTTGTGGTTGGGAGTAAAGGGATGAGCTGATGACTTCCTTCTCTTTTCCAATCAAGCTTTTAGGTTACGATGAAAAACCTCTGACGTTACAAATGTTCATTGGAACAGCGGATGAGCGAAATCTACGTCCTCACGCTTTCTACCAGGTGCATCGCATCACTGGGAAAATGGTGGCCACCACGAGTTACGAATCTATCATCAGTGGAACCAAAGTCCTTGAGATGTCTCTGCTGCCGGAGAACAACATGGCAGCCAAGTAAGTTGCCTTTAGGCGCAAAAAAGTGGAGAGATGAAGAAAGGACTTCATCTGGGTGATAGTAGATGATGATGATGATGATGATGATGATGATGATGATGATGATGATGATATAAAGATGAATAAAGATCTGGTCCTTTCTCAATCTTATGCTTTTGTTTTCCTTCTTAACTTTTTTTTCGATAAGGAGAAAGAGAAGAACCTAACAATATCACCTTCAGTCCATTTCAGATATAAAAAGAAAACAAAGATGACCTGAGTTAGCAAGATTAAAAATGGCAAAATGAATACATAAAATATAAATGAAAGAAAGAGGAAAAGAAAAAAATACATAACCGTAGGCTAAAAACCTAAAGGTCATTTGACTGAAGGGCTTGAAAATTCTCTTCTTAACCTTTGTAAACAAATTCAGAGTTGGAAGGGACTTCGTAGGTCATCTAGTCCAACCCCCTGCCCAAGCAGGAGATCCTACAGTGTAGGGCCTACACCATGACAGATAGCAGTCCAGTCTCTTCTTGAAAGCTTCCAGTGATGAAGCTCCCACAACTTTTCAAGGCAAGCTGTTCCATTGGTTGATTGTTCTCAAATCAGTTCCTCCTGATTTCTAGGTTGAATCTCTCCTTGTTCAGTTTCCATCCATTATTCCTTGTCTGGCCTTCAGGTGCTTTGGAAAATAGCTTGACCCCCTCCTCTCTGTGGCAGTCCCTCAAATATTGGGACACTGCTATCATATCTCCTCTGGTCCTTCTCTTCACTAGACTTGCCATGCCCAGTTCCTGTAATCATTCATTGTATGCTTTAGCCTCCAGTCCCCTAATCATCTTGGTTGTTCTTCTCTCCACTCTTTCTAGTCTCAACATCTTTTTTATAGTGTGGTGACCAAAACTGGATGCAGCATTCTAGGTATGATCTTACTAAGGCTTTATAGAATGGTATTGGTACTTCACTTGATCTTGATTGTATCTTGATTTGTCAGAAAAAAAGTCAGTTAAAACATTGGCAAAACATGTGTAGAATCGAATCGAATCGAATCGAATCGAATCGAATCGAATCGAATCGAATCGAATAGAATAGAATAGAATAGAATAGGAGTTTTTTATTGGCCAAGTGTGATTGGACACACAAGGAATTTGTCTTGGTGCATATGCTCTCAGTCTACATAAAAAGAAAAGATACCAATAACCGATGGCTGGCAATTTATTGTGGATTTTCCCTCTTGGCTATCCCTATTTTCCAAGTATCCATAAACCTGTCGAATGTTGATAAATTGAATATAAAAGGGATATAACCTATATGATACCAGTTTTCCATGGTCACATGATCTCTATTTGCTACCTTCACCACCAGCTTGCAACAGGCAGTCATTGGCAAGAAGTTGCAAGTCACGGTCATGTGACATCCTACTTAATAACATGCAGTGATTTGCTAATGTCCACCATTGGAACTATTGTTAAATCAGGTTATGACCACATAATGCTTCACTTTATGATGCCACTTAGTGATGGAGTTCCAATGAGGATTGGTGAAAACTCTCTATATAATAGAATAGCAAAATAGTCTTGGTTTTAGACATTGATTGATTGCATGAATGATTGAATTGATAGTCTGATTCAGTCAGTTGACTCTAAATGGTGTACAAGAACAGTAGCCAGAATCAATTGAACAATAAATTGCAATAGTACCCTATAAAGTCTAATATATACAGTTACAGTTCCAACTAATGACGCCAGAATAATAATTCACCTCAGTATCAGTAATTATATCATTGTGCATCTTAAAAAGTTATGTTGTGTTCAGTGGTGGGATTCAGCTGGTTCTCTCCGAATCGCACGAAAAGGTAGCGGCGACTGCGGGAGCTCCGGCCACCTGCCTGGATGTAATGCGCGACTACTGCCATGTGCACTCACATTTGCGAACCAGTAGGGAAGGTAAGTGAATCCCACCTCTGATTGTGTTATTTCTAAAAGATTGAAGACAATTTGGTCAATTTGATGTAGTGCTTAAGGTGCTAGGCCAGAAACTAGGAGATTTGAGTTCTAGTCCTATTTTAGTCATGAAAATTGGCTGGGTGACTTTGGGCCAATCATTTCCTCTCTCAGACCAATTCATCTCACAGGGCTGTTGTTGTGGAGAAAATAGGAGGAGGAGGAAGTATTGTGTGTGTTGCCACCTTGAGTTATTTGTAAAAATTAATAAAGGTGAGATAAAAATTAATAAAGGTGAGATAAAAATGAGGACCCAGTTTGTGGGGGCAATAAGCTGACTTTGTATAAATATACAAAAGTATGAAGGCTATTGCTTAACACATTGTAAGCTGCCCTGAGTCTCCGGAGAAGGGTGGCATATAAATCAAATTTAAAAAAAAATGAGTAAATAATTTACCTTTTTTCCAGGCTCCATTCCACTTCATCCTCAATGAATTTATTCATTTGAGAGAAGTGCAACTAAAATATTCCAGTTATCTAAAATGGTCCTTAGTTAATACCATGGCTAATCAGATTTTAAGTTGAAGATACTTCCAATTTCCTTTTTCCATTTATTTTTTCATGGGCTACTTTAGAAGAACTTTTTATGAGCCCTGAAACCAGAGTAAAGAATAATAGAATAAAAGAATTGGAAGGGACCTTGGAGATCTTCTAGACCAACCTCCTGCTCAGGCAGGAAATCCTATGCCATTTCAGACAAATGGTTATCCAATCTCTTCTTAAAAACTTCCCGTGTTGGAGCATTCACAACTTCTGGAGGCAAATTGTTCCATTGATTAATTGTTCTAACTGTCAGGAAATTGTCAGGAAACTGTCTTGAGTTGTAGGTTGCTTGTCTCCTTGATTAGTTTCCATCTATTGCTTCTTGTTCTACCCTCAGTGGTTTTGGAGAATAGTTTGACTCCCTCTTCTTTGTGGCAGCCCCTGAGATATTGGAACACTGCTATCATGTCTCCCCTAGTCCTTCTTTTCATTAAACTAGACATATTCAGTTCCAGCAACCGTTCTTCATATGTTTTAGCCTCCAGTCCCCTAATCATCTTTGTTGCTCTTCTCTGCACTCTTTCTAGAGCCTCAACAACTTTTTTACATTGTGGCAACCAAACCTGGATACAGCTTTCCAAACACTCACAATATGTCATTCTCTTCAGGGATGGGTTCTATTTACCTTTACTACCGGTTCGCAACGGGATCGCACATGCGTGACCCCTTCGCTCGCGTGCACATCTTGTTTCTGTGCATGTTGCTGAAGCTTCAGCGCATGTGCAGATCACTGATGACGACATCCGGGGTAGTGGGTGGGGGCCTCCTGCCAGTTTTACTACTGGTACTTGCGAACCAGTCTGAACCGGGGGCAATGCACCACTGTTCCTCCTCCTATTTTCCCCACAACAACAGTCCTGTGAAATGGGTTGGGTTGAGAGACAATGATTGGCCCAAAGTCATCCTGCCAGTTTTCATGCCTAAATCAGGACTTAGACTAAGTCTTTGTTATCACTTTGAAATGTACACTAATCAGCATACATTAAAATGAACTAGACTAGAACTCATAAGAGAAGCAATGCATCCAGGGATGGTTTCCACTTAGCTTCGCTATCAGTTCGCAAATGTGAGCATGTGTGCCTTCCATGCATATGCAGAGCATCAAAAACTGGACATGATTACGTCTGGGTGGGTGAGCAGAACCTCCTGCAGCCGCCGCTACCGGATTGCCCGAACCGGATAGAACCGGTTGAATACTACCACTGAAGGCATCTCCACCTTCCTTTCCTTTAAAAATCAAGATACCTTGGTTCCATTGATCCAGCAGAAGATTGTCATTTGATCATTTCTCTTTTTCTTTGGTCTCTTCTGGATCTTTTCCTCCCCACTCCCCAATTCCCTTTTAGCATCGACTGTGCTGGAATCCTAAAACTACGTAATTCAGACATTGAGCTGCGCAAAGGCGAGACAGACATTGGGCGCAAAAACACACGGGTACGGCTGGTATTTCGGGTTCATGTCCCACAAGGAAATGGCAAAGTGGTTTCCATCCAGACAGCTTCTGTGCCCATTGAATGTTGTGAGTATTGGTACTTTAGGGTAACATTTGATGGCTGGGGTCTGTCCTCAGGATTTTCCCAAAGGTGAAGAAGCTTCTTGCATGAGAAGCGAAACGTCTTCAGAAAAAAAACCAGAAAGTCCAATTATCTCAAAAAAAAAAAAAAAAGAAAAAAAAAGCACCTTTGGGACAACCATGACCTAGATCAGAGGTGGGTTTCACTAGGTTCTGACCAATTCCGCAGAACCGGTAGCGGAAATTTTGAGTAGTTTGGAGAACCGGTAGTAAAAATTCTGACTGGCCCCGTCCCCATCTATTCTCTGCTTCCCAAGTCCCAGCTGATCAGGAGGAAATGGGGATTTTGCAGTAACCTTCCCCTGCCATGCCCACCAAGCCACGTCCACCCAAGCCATGTCATGCCCACCAAACCACACCCACAGAATTGGTAGTAAAATTTTTTGAAACCCACCACTGACCTAGATGACTTAGAATCTCCATAGACATGTCCTCAAGATTGTCCAAAGGAAATTTGAGGCTGTTGACTCCACATTGTGGGTGATGGGTAGATGGAACTGGAGAGGGGATCTTTCATGCTCACCCACCATCACCAATCTCACCTATCCATCCATGGTAGCTGCTCCAGCAACTGAGGAGGCTATTCCTGTTGAAAGTTTGCCCGGGGATATCTCTCCTTTATCCAGTGCTGAGCTAAAACATCTACAAAAACTCCAGATTTGAGAACGTGAAGAAAAATTGACCATCCATTTGAAGTATTTACTCCAAAATGTGTGCATGTGTACACAGGTAGTCCTCAACTTACGGCCACCATTGAGCCCAACATATTGCTACCCAAGACAGTTCTTAAGTGAGTCTAGCTTCATTTTATGACTTTTCTTGCCACAGTGGGTAAGTGAAACACTGTGGTTGTTCAGATAATAACATACTGTGGTTGTTAAGTGAATCTGTTTTTCTCTCTTGACTTGGCTTGTCAGAAAGTCGCAAAATGTGATCACAGGACCCCAGGACACTGCAACCGTCATAAATATGAGCCAGTTGCCCACCGTCCAAATTTTGGTCATGTGACCCCTGAGGACTTTGCAACGGTCATATGAAAAATGAGCATAAGTCACCTTTTTAGCATTGTTGTAACTTTGAATGGTCACTAAATGAATGGATAATGTAAGTTAAGGAACACTTGTATACAAACACACTCATGCATAGGTACAAGTACACCTGTGAAAAGGTAAAGATAAAGGTTCCCCTCGCACATATGTGCTAGTCGTCCCCGACTCTAGTGGACAGTGCTCATCTCCATTTCTAAGCCAAAGAGCCAACACTGTCTGATGGCAATTCTGTAGTCATGTGACTACAGCATGACTAAATGCCGAAGGCGCACGGAACGCTGTTACCTTCCCACCAAAGGTGATCCCTATTTTTCTACTTGCATTTTTATGTGCTTTTGAACTGCTAGGTTGGCAGAAGCTGGGACAAGTAACAGGAGCTCATTCCATTATGCGGCATTAGGGATTCAAACCGCTGAACTGCCGACCTTTTGATTGACAAACTCAGCATCTTATTTATTTATTTATTTATTTATTTATTTATTTATTTATTTATTTATTTATTTATTTATTTATTTATTTATTATTTGTCCAATTTATATGCCACCCTTCTCCGTAGACTCAGGGCGGCTTACAATGCATTATAGCAATAGCCTGCATACTTTTTTGTATGTACCTGCTTGTTAGGGCTTTGCCCCCCCCAAGCGGTGTTGTTCTATACAAAGTTGGCTTATTGCCCCCACAATCCGGGTCCTCAATTTATCTACCTCGAAAGGATGGAAGGCTTGAGCCTGGTGAGATTCGAACTTGCACTAATTGCAGGCAGCTGGCAGCTAAGTGCTAGCACTTAACAGCACTTTAGTCCGCTGCACCACCGAGGCTCCTTGCCACTGAGCCACCGCGTCCCTGTTTAGAATGCAATACTGCAGGCTAATTCTGTCTGCCTGCAGTTCAGCAGTTCGATTCTCATTGGCCAAGGTTGACTCATCCTTCCGAGGTGGGTAAAATGAGGACCCTGATTATTGGGGGCAATAGGCTGATTCTGTAAGCTGCTTAGAGAGGGCTGTAAAGCACTATGAAGCGGTATATAAGTCTAAGTGCTATTGTATTTAGTGACTGTTCGAACTTACAACAGTACTGAAAAAAGTGACTTATAATAAATAGGTCCTTGAAATTATGAGCACTGCAGCAAACCCACAGCCACACCATCAAAATGTAGATATGTATTTACAATGGTTACAGAGTCCCAGGGTCACGTGAATACTCCTTGCGACCTTCCCAGCTGGCTTCTGACCAGCAAAGTTAATTGGGGGGGAGCCAGATTCACTTAACAACCAGTTAACTGACATGATTTGCACGTTGTAAAATTGGGTGCATCTCATTACCAAGCTCACCCTGTTACGCGGCACTAGGGATTCGAATACTGAACTGCTGACCTTTCGATTGATAAGCTCAGCATTTTAGCCACTGAGCCACCACATCCCCTAAGTACACCTGCACACTCAAATGCACATATATTGAACTTATTTTATTTTTTTAGTAGATCAAAGCTTGTTAGTTTGCCAGAACTCTCCCAAGATTGCATTGAGGGATCCCAAAGGGAAATTGCAAATATCTCACAAGCCTTAGGAAAAATCTGAGTGGGTTTTGTTACTTTTTATCTTTTTAACAAAAACCCGTTTTGCAATGTCCAGTTATGTCATAGTGCATGACACCTGTTGCCTGGGAAGGGTGCTGTGATTTGCTCAAAATTGGTTTTGAAAGCATGGAAGAAAAGAAAGTTGGCATTAAGAAAATGTTTCAGGAAGTGATTCTTCCCTACAGGGTGCAGTGGATGAGTTGGCCTGTAATCGCACTCCTCAATTCCGCTGTCAAAGAGCTAAGGCTTTTAGCCTCTGTTCCACTTGTCTCTCTGGTCCCTCTTTGCAGCCCAGCGCTCAGCTCAAGAACTCCCACAAGTAGAGCATTACAGTCTTAGCGCCTGCTCAGTGCACGGTGGTGAAGAGATGGTCATTAGTGGAGCCAACTTTCTGCCAGAATCAAAAGTTGTTTTCATCGAACGAGGGCCTGGTAAGTGAGATTGGGTTCCTTTCCTTTCTTTTCCTTTCCTTTCCTTTCCTTTCCTTTCCTTTCCTTTCCTTCTTTCTTTTCCTTCCCCTTCCCCTTTTCTTTCTTTCTTTCTTTCTTTCTTTCTTTCTTTCTTTCTTTCTTTCTTTCTTTCTT